AAAATCTATCTTTTATAAAGTTCTGAGGCTATTACTCAATTGCCTGCCTTCACCATTTGTAATTCTGTTCCTGCTGCATATTTTCCCCTCTATTACACTGGAAAGAGAAAAAAAGTCAAGGAACAAGTAGATGACTTGAAGTAGTATTTCCATGCATTCTTCCTGCCCCCAAGACCTTTATAAAAGATAGATTTTTAGTTGGAAAATAGAATTATATCTATAAATTTGTAGAATAATTTTGTGTAGACCATTTCTGTAGGAGATCTCACGTACTGTTGCCCTTTTGTGTAAAACTTTATTATTAAATGTCCATTATTATTTTTTTGCAGTGGGCAGATCAAGCTAGCAGACTTTGGTCTTGCCCGACTTTACAGTTCAGAAGAAAGGTAAGCTGTTTAAGAGGCGTGTAGACATGACTAGATATTTTAAACATAATACACCAAGATGGACATCTGTAGAAACCTTATTGAATTCACTTGCACCGTCTAGGATAATTAACCATGGTTCACATAGCTGCACCTACTTCGCAGGACAAGTAACCATGTGTCCTTGCTCTGCCTTCCCATTGGACACAGTCAACGATAAATGCCCCATGATGGGTTGGCTGCTGTGAAGTGGGCATAGCCATGTGCCTATGGTTAATTGTACTTGCATACAAGCATATAGGAATTCTCTTTGTTCTCTCTCTTTTTGAGTCAGTGGTGTTAATGAGGTAGCTGATTGCCTGTTTATTGCCTGTTAATCTTCTTTGTGTTTTGGACTTATAACTAAATTTATTGTTTAATTCTAACACACCTGTCTTGAACTTGATTGAAGCCATTAGGCAAATTATTCTGAGCCTTAGATCCCTGACCATAAAAGCAGTGATTTTCCTAATTTTGTTTAAAAAACTAAAACCGGAGAGAAAGCATTGACCTATCTTTCTCTGCCAATGAAGGTATCCGCCTTGATCTCCTGATAGCAAGGAATGTTTGTGTGAGATCAAAGGCAATTTATTATTTTTTGTTGTCTCTGAAGTATGATATATAGGTACACAGAAACATTGTGTTCTGTGACTGTATCTTCATCACTTTTCATTCCGAATGCTCTGATAGGGTTTGAGGACAACTTTAGATAAAACTTCTAGTGGCTTAAAAGTGCTACTTAAATAATAATTAATCTGTTGATTGCACCATCTGTTTACTTTGATTCTTACAGAATTGAGCCTAAAGTGTTATTTTATATAATTGTTTTTCTAATTAGCCGGCCATATACCAATAAAGTCATTACACTATGGTATCGACCACCTGAGTTGCTGCTAGGCGAGGAGCGTTACACACCAGCTATAGATGTCTGGAGCTGTGGGTAAGCCAGTGACACTTTCATGTTTTGATTTTTGATGTTAGCNAATTTTAACATTTTCTAATGGTGGTGTGCCTCGTGATTTTTTTCATGAAAAAAGTGTGCCTTTGCACAAAAAAGGTTGAAAAACACTGGTCTAGTGGAACTTGGTGTTTCTTATATAGATTAGTATAATAATTCCAAAAGAGTGTTTGGATATTTTTATTATTCATATATGTCTTATTTCCTTCCTGAAGTTTAGCTATTATCTTCTTTTCTGTTTGTTTTCTTAATTTATGCACCAGCCATCTCCGTTTCATTTGCATGTTCAAAAAAATCTTGCATATTTCAATTTATTTTCAATATCTGAAATGGTCAACAAAGAAATTTGTTGTTGCAATAGTTTTAATTGATTGAGACTATTACAGTCTTTTGGTGATTTTTGACATTCTCTTTCCTTGAGTTTAATTTCATCTAGCATTTTTTGAATTTTTCCATCCATTTTCTTCTTAATCAATGTATTATATTGTATAAAATAACCTCGTATCACAGCTTTACAAGTGTCCCAAATTGTTGTCAAGTTAGTTCCATTATCCAGGTTGTTATTAAAATAGTCTTGGAGTACTTGTTTGCATTCTTTGACAAACTGTGGTCTCTGCAAAATAGGCTCATTTAATCTCCATTTAAAATACTGGGATCTAAATTTAAGGTGTAACATCATTGGACTGTGACCAGAAAAGGATTTTGGAAGAATGTTAGCTTTAATTTTCTTGTGAATCAAATTTTTGGTAATCCCTATCATAACAATTCTAGAAAAGGATTTGGGTCTCTCTCAGAAAAAGGTACAATCTTTTGCCAGTTGGACCTCTAAGTCCATATCAACACCGATTGGGGCTGACCTTGGAGAACAGAGTCAAACCAGTGCAAAACCTCACCACCCAGCCTCAAACCCTGCAGCTAGCCCAAAAGGATACCATGGTCCATGGTATCAAAGGCTGCTGAGAGGTCAAGGAGAGCAAGGATGGATGTACTACCTCTATCCTGCTCTCACCAGAGATCATCATCAAGTGCGACCAATGTTGTTTCTGTCCCATAACCAGGCCTGAAACCTGAAGGGGTCCCGATAATCTGTTTCATCCAGGACCCTCTGAAGCTGCCAGGCAACCACCTTCTTTACCACCTCCCCTAAAAAGGGAAGGTGGTAGAGAAGGTGGTTGCAATGCAGCTTCCCACCTAAAAAGGGAAGGTGGGAGACTGGACAGAAATTGTCCAGACAGGTAGGATTAAGGGATGGGTTTTTGAGGAGGGACGAACCAGTGCCTCCTTGAAAGCTCCTGGAAACGTCCACTCCTGCAGTGAGGACTGAACCTACCTGACTGTCACAATTCTGGAGGTTTTCACTAGCCAGGAGGAACAGGAGTCTTAATTGTCAGGTGGTTGCACTGACAGCATCGAGGACCCTGTCCACTTCATCAGGTCCAACAGGATCAAACTGTTCCCAGATAATCAGGTAAGACCTTTCCCCAGGCATCTCTAATAGACCTGCATCATTCAAGGGTTCCAACTGGGAACGAATCTGAGTGACTTTGTCCGACAGACATTCAACAAGTTCCTCTGTGTGGCCCTGAAGATGATCACCCAAGCCCCCCTGTCCTAGGTTATCTTGAATAGGGTTGCTGGGAGACAGTCTACACATGCAATAAGGGGAGAAAAATAATGGTGTTTCACTGCTCTTACCACCACAAGGTAGGCCTTAATAGGAGCTCTAAGTCATGTCTAGTCAGATTCATCCCTCCAGCAGTGCTCTAGGTGTCTCTTTGCCCTTTTCAGAACCTGCAGCTCCTCCATGAACCACAGGGAGGGTTGAGAGCGATGGGTTAAGAGAGGTCTCACAGGCGCAATCCTGTCCAAAGTCTTGGCTGCCCTTTCGTTCTAGGATATAACCAGAGCTTCAGCAGGACCATGCAGCAAGACCCCCAGGATATCCCCCAGTTCCCTCTGGAACCCATTTGGGTCCATCAGTTGCTGTAGGCAGACCACTCATATGGGTTCAGCCTCCCCGAGGAGGGGGGTGGGGGTGGCATAAGAGAATCTCAAAAGATATCAGGGCATAATCTGACCATGACAGTGGGGATAACAACAGATCTCCCACCAGATCATGTTGCCATTGCTCTCACAAGAAAATTACTTTTAGAGAAAAGTAAGGTTTTACACTTAGGCAAGAAAAAACAAATTTACAGGTACAGATTAGGTGAAACCTGGCTCAGTAGCAGTAACTGTGAGAGGGATTTTGAAGTCCTACTGGACAATCACTTAAATATGAGCCAGCAATGTGTGGCAGCAGCCAAAAATCCAATGCAATCCTAGGTTGCATTAACAGGGATAGAATCAAGGTCACATGAAGTATTAATAAGGCTTTATAATGCCTTCGTAAGACCACACTTAGAATATTGCATCCAGTTTTGGTCACCATGTTATAAAACAAATGTTGAAACTCTGGAAAGAGTGCAGAGAAGAGCAACAAAGATGATTAGGGGGCTGGAGGCTAAAACACATGAACAGTTGTAATAATTGGATTTGTCTAGTCTAGTGAACAGGTAACCCTTGATTTACAACCACAATTGAGCCCAGAATTTACTTTGCTAAAAGAGAAATTTGTTAAGTGAGTTTTGCCCTATTTTATGCCACATTTGTTAAGTGAATCACTGCAGTTGTTAAATTAGTAACACAGTTATTGAGTGAATCTGACTTCCCCATTGATTTAGTTTGTCAAAAGGTCACAAAAGATGATTGTATGACCTGGGACACTAACCATCAGAAATATAAACCAGTTGTCAGGCATCTGAATATAAATCAAGTGACCATGGAGATGTTGTAACAGTTATAAGTGTGAAAAATGGTCATAAGTCACTTTTTTCAGTGCTGTTGTAAATTTGAACGGTCAGTAAATGAACTGTTATAAATCAAGGATTACCTGTATTTGAGGGGCTGCCACAAAGAAGGGGGGGGGTGTCAATCTATTTTCCAAAGCACCAAAAGGCAAGACAAGAAACAATGGATGGAAACTAACCAAGGAGAGAAGCAACCTAGAACTAAGGAGAAATTTCCTAATGTTGAGTGCAATTAACCAATGGCCTTCAGAAGTTGTGGGTGCTCCATCACTGGAGGAAAAACACAGCCATTTGTCTGGAATGCTATAGGGTCTCCTGCTTGACCAGGGGGTTGAACTAGAAGACCTTCAAGGTCACTTCCAACTCTTGTTTATTCTGAAAGATCATCTCCAGTACGTCACCACTGTCCTGAGTCAGGCCTCAGATGATCTGGGATAGGTCCATGGTTGCTATGGTGGCCATGAACTCCTGGGCCACTTCTGAGGCCAAAACCAGGGAGGGCACATCAAAGGGGTGGATGGGTGCACTAATCATTGGGTCGTCTTCAGCATTCCCCTCCTCCGAGGCCTCCCCCTTGGTAGGACTCTTTGTCACCTTAGGTTGGGGATCCTCTTCCNATATTCTAATTTTTCGAGTTTCACCTGTACTGTGGTCTAAACTGAAGCAGAAATGCTAGAAGCTTAGTCTGGACTAAACTACATTTGGTGGAGAGGGTCCACCAAATACTGGTTTGGGATATCAGCAGTACTCCAAGGTAACTATGGGGACAATCCTTACATTTTACTGGAATGGAAATGAGCAGCTTATTACTTGGTCTCTTGCACAATTGGATCAGTGTGCATTTCTTTCTTTGGGGCATTCCATATGGGTTTTGATCATGGGAAGGACTATTCTATGTTCTACATGGAATTTTCTGTCTATGATATTCTTCATAGTAAAAATATGTTCATTTGTTTAAAGGTGTATATTTAGTCATTTTATTTTCAGAGATAGTATTTGAAATGACTGCTAACATTTTAGAAGACTGAGGGACTCAGCACCATTTTTTGGGCGTGGAGGAGACACCCTGCCTAGATTTTTGCAACTCACTATGACGATCAGATGTATAATAAACAGTAAAAAACCAGAGAAATGCTTATCTTGTACATGGGTCCCAGAATTTGGATTACTTTGATGCAGAAATTTGTTTCACTTTTGTTTACCTCTTTTAAAGCTTTTTTTTAAAAAAAAAAAGCTTTAAAGTATGCACAACAATGTCATACTTAGTACTATTACCCTGATTGGCAGTGGCTCTCAAATATCTCAGAGAATATTTGAGTCTTGTAATATGAAACCCTTTTTATGTCTGATAATCTGGAAGTTATTCAAAGAATGTGCTGTTCCCTAAGTTTGGGTACTTCCTTTATGGGTCATTCCATGTCAAGTGGTCTGATTTCAGAAAAGTGTCCAGCTCAACCATCACGGATTTCAATGAAGTTTGGTGTGAACATGCACACACATCCCCAATGAACATTGGTAAAGTGTTATGTTTTCCGATGCAATACTTGCAGAGATATAGTCATTTGTGTGACCCCCATACCACAACCTTCTCCAATATGACTCTGAGGGTTCAGCAACTTTGCTCCAACTTATCTAGGTGGAGATTGCTCATGAGAATGTTTTTATCATTTTTGTAATAGAGCACAAAACGTTTTACAAGATGGCCAAGTTTCATTTCTCTCAAAACATTGTCGGAGATATTATGTCTCAAAGTTGCTGAAACCCCAGAGTCATACTGTAGAAGGCTGCGGTATGGGGTCACACAAATGACTCTGCAAGTATTGCATCGGCACATGTAACACTTTACCAATGTTCATTGGGGACATGTGTGCATGTTCACACCAAATTTCATTGAAATCTGTGATGGTCGAGCAGGGAGCCCCAGACCACTTGACATGGAATGACCCATATATATATGTCTGAAATGTTTGATGTTTGTTCACATGTACTTATGAGTTGGTGTTTAAAAGAAGTAACCATTCCACAGCCTGTCCTCACATTCTCCCACCAGAGAAGAGACCCCCTGNAGGCAAATCCCTAATTTCTGCTGTTGGTGTTTTAGCTTGTTTTGTTTTCTTCCTAGCTGCATCCTTGGGGAACTCTTCACAAAGAAACCTGTTTTTCAAGCTAATCTTGAGTTGTCTCAGCTTGAATTAATCAGGTAAAGCATTCTGTGAGTGGTGGAAAGGAGATTGGGCACAGAAAGTAGTTGTGTATTTTGCCTTGGCAGTGCCAGCAGCTGTGATAGTTGCTGGAATTGCCAGCAATTATATTAGGTCCAGATCGGATCTATGGACAATATGTACCAACTGGTTGCTCATGTTAGAAATGTATATAGATGTTTTCTTATTAGGAGAAAAATGCCTTTCTTGTGTTTCTTGAATGTATATAACTGTTTCTTCTGAGTCCCTGTCTCCAGCCTGTTAATCGTTCAGCAGTCAGGAACCCAGAATTCTATATGTGCAGCTTGTTCTTAGCTATAATTTTGAACTGTGGTTCTAATGGTACTGTTAGAGGACTAGAAGCTGGCATTCAGACTCCTTTTAAATCCCATACAAAGTTGGGGGAAAGGCAAAATCAGAAAAGAATAGCTATGCAGCTTATTTAGCTTGTCACATAACATATAGCTATTCCTCAGAAAATAGTGTTTCCAGTTTCATCAGCTGCAAAATCTTCCCTTGAACATCATTCTCTCCTCAAGTAACTTTAATTTTTGTTGGGAATCTTTCTAAAATCTGAAACCCATTGCCGTGACACATTTTTATTATTCATATCCAAGTGTCATCTTTAGCTAATTTTAATCAACCCTGTGCTTGTCAGGATTTTCAGTTTGTACAAGGAAAGTTCTATTCTGTTGTATATGAATGGGGAGACATTTCTGCGTGCTCTGAATACCACAGAAAAATAGGCTCTTCCTTTAAACACTTAAGGTCACAATACATATCTTCTGCATTTAGAAATCATTAATAGAAATTTCACTCCTGCTGACCAAATTATATTTCATTTTCTCCCTGAGGCCCTTTTTACTTCAATTGTAAAGACCATGCCAATAACTATTTATAAAACCTTTGGGATATTTAAAATAACATTGGAGTTTAACTAGACAGAACTGAAAATCATTAAAAAAAACCTGAGTGGTTTTAATTCAAGTATTCTGTTTATTGAGAGATTCAAAACAGTGCTTACATTTCCTTTCAGCCGTCTTTGTGGGAGCCCCTGTCCAGCTGTATGGCCAGATGTCATCAAACTCCCCTACTTCAACACCATGAAACCAAAGAAGCAATATCGTAGGCGCCTACGGGAGGAGTTTTCCTTGTAAGTTTGTGTAGTACTCTTTGGGTGAGACCATAGCATGGTGTGCAGCTTGGGATCCTCCCTTTCAGAAAACAGGTCAAGATAGACTTTTGGGGAGCAACCTTTTTTAAATAATACATTTAATATTAATTTAATTTTTATAAATAACTCAAAGTGGCAAACATATCTAATATTCCTTCCTCATCCTGTTTGCCCCACAACAACTCTGTCAGGTAGGCTGGACTGAGAAAGAATAACAGGCCCAAAGTCACCCAGCTAGTTTTCATGCCTAAAGTGGGACTAGAACTCACAGTCTCCTGGTTTCTAGCTTGGTGTCTTAACCACTAGACCAATTTTTGAGGATGGGAAAGAGAAGGGTGAAATTGTTGGCAGCTATGTCTTATGTATGCTTATTTCAGTTTTAGATAACTTTATTGGCTCAATGTGTGTTAATTGTACTGGACTATGAACTTCAATACCTGTGAACTTCTAGGGTTTGTAAAACATTAATGGGCATAAAGTCACAGAATGTAGGGGACTTCTACATCTACTGGAAGTGAATGGAGTCATATGGTTAGCCAGAAAAGGAAGAGCATTAAACCTCTGAACATCATGGTGATCCATGTCCCAAGACAGTAGGCTTTCAGCAGGAAAGAAATGAGCAAATCCATACATGTGGCTCATTTAGCAGAGGTTTAATCCTAATGTTAAGAGCTGTGGTGGCGCAGCGGTTAGAATGCAGTATTGTAGGCTAATTCTGCCAACTGCCAGCAGTTCGATTCTCACCCGCTCAATCCTTCCATCCTTCTGAGGTCAGTAAAATGAGGATCCAGATTTTGGGGGGCAATATGCTGTAAACCACTTAGAGAGGGCTGTAAAAGCACTATGAAGCAGTATATAAGTCTAAGTGTTATTGCTATTGTTGCTCATACCAGATTTTGAGATCATCGCATCCTTTCTTCTAGAGCTGGTGCACTCGATTGGTTTTTACATGAATATATGGAAATTACTAATATGAAGTCATACTAATCCATATAATCCAGAAACATCTGCTTTGACTAGTAGCAATTCTTCAGACAAACACTTTATGATTGATAATTACAAACACGTGGGCTTGAAGCACAAATTGCCAGATGCTTGCAAGTATCAAATTGCAGTATGAAAGACGGATGTGTATCTATGTTTGGTGAATAGTTTCCATGTCAGTCTGATGTACCTTTCAAGGGAGTGCTCCCCTCTAAAAATGTGATTCTTCAGGTGCCAGTTGAATTACCTGGGGAAAAGCATAATGCAAACAAGGACTAAGTTTGTGTTCCCATGTTCTCTGAAGCACATTTTGGAGACTGATACTGAAGTATTACATGACCCTATTGTTCATAGTTGGAGAGGGCTACGGAGGCACAAAATATATAGTTGTGTGCTACAAGTTGACTATGCCTAATAAAAAGTATGCAGGTTGCTTAAATATTTGAAAATTATATCAAATAGCAGTGCTGATTATTGTGGGGACTTTGGGCTCCCCCCTCCTCCATATTTTTTCTCATCTTCCAGTATTCCTTCTGCTGCCCTTGACCTGTTAGACAATATGCTAACACTGGACCCCAGCAGACGATGTACAGCACAGCAAGCATTGCAGAGTGATTTCCTGAAGGATGTTGATGTCAGCAAGATGGATCCTCCAGAGTAAGTATCCCACTCTCTAAGGGAAGGAAACGTTGAAGAATGAAATACCTAGTCTTTTAGATGTGTTCTTCATATATCTACAGTATATGTGGTAGATTGGTTGGATTCATAGCAAGGCAGATATGTTAGCTTCACTCATAAAAATATATGCCTTTAGAATCACTGCCTGCACAATTAGGAAGGAGGCATGTTCATAAATATACTAGCATGAATAAATGCAGAAGATTCAAGGAACTTTGTCAACCTGCATGTCACAGGGAAAAGGAACCCCATCCTTGGTTTACAAACTACTTAAAATTTGGAGGATGTGAGTGGCTTAGAATTATCTTCCTTGTGTTTCAGTCCCAACGTCTGCTCTTTCTTAGTACATGCAAAGATGCTGCTGACCATCTCCTCTATTCCTGTAATACATATACACACAGCCACCCTCGCCCGATTTTATTTGGTCAAGGGCCATATGGAAAGTGTGGAAGCTACAGGTAGATGAGGCAAGGAGAGAATTGTTTGATCAAATAAAACAATAGGCATGTCCAGATTACAAACCACATTTTCTTACAATTCTAAATTTTATTTACTGAAATGGCCCAATGATATATATGTCTTAAGCTTTGCAAAAGGCAGTAGTGCAATTCTTGCACCCTCTATATGCCTTTAAACCCTTTTGTGAAGTTTAACACAAGCTTTAGTCCTCCTCTGAGTCATTCACTTACCCCAAATGACATCCTTTTTGGACTTGTATAAGAGTTGCTAAAACACGGGGAAGAAAAGTTTTGGTTTGAACTAGTAGGGTAAACATCATCTGTGAGGAGAGAAATACCAGTAATCTAATATTAGAATTTTACTTTTGATTGTCTACCCTTGCCACTAATGTTTGTGTTTCTCTAATGTTTGTATGTTGTCTTTCTAGCCTTCCTCATTGGCAGGATTGTCATGAACTGTGGAGCAAGAAACGTCGGCGGCAACGGCAAAGTGGGATTGTGGTGGAGGAACTCCCCATGGCAAAGGTTTCCCAGAAGGACATAGCCTCTGTAATAAGCACTGATGCAATCAAGAATCATAGCAGCCCAGTACCCCCACAGTCTGTTCAGATCAAAACACAACCTGGTTCTGGACACTCATTTGGTTAGTGCATAGCCTAGGAAAATCCTTCAAGTTTTAATCAAGTATCAGAACCTCTTGCTTCCCTAAATACTTGGGAGGTTAATTAAATGGAAGTAACTATTTTCAAAGGAGCTATGCACCACAGCAGGGGAAAAAAGATAATCCTATTGCAAATGTTAAATTTATATACTTATAACACAGCTTTAGTTAATTTGTTCCCAGGTGGCTTTCAAGAGAATCAAAAGAAACTCAACATAAAAGCTGGTATAATAACATTTTATTATTATAACTTTTAAGTTAAAATAGGAGGTTACAATTAAAATACTGAATTTGGAGGGGAGGGGATTGGAGTAGAACCTGGCAAATCATTCTGAGAGGGAAGACTATAAATTGGCCAATCCACAAACTATCTGATTTCAGATCTTGGGGCACTACAACTTCATTTTGGATCTTGGAGGCACTAACTCCTCATTTGAAATTTAGTGGTATTGTCACTTTGTTTCAAATCCAGAGATGAATCTCCACAGATTATTTCAATGCATTCCAGTTAATATGGGAATTGCATTTGTTCAGGTACCTGGGTGCCAAGACATTGTAGGGCTTTGAAGCTAAGCATCAACACTTTTAGATATACTTAGAATAGTAACAGGTGTGTTTTTAACACCATATCTGTATTAGTAATTTATTACCTACATCCAATTTTTTATTTTTTAATATTTTTTATGTTTTCTCAACATGAATAAAATATAAAACAAAACAGAAAAATGGATATCCAACAGTAAAAACAACAAAACAAAATTGGGTACAAAAAAGAGGGAAAAAATGACCCAAACATCAAATAAGTCTAACATTATTAGACTACATCTGTCACACCTGCCCCAGTCCGATCCCTTAGGAAAGAAAGACCCTCAACTCCATTTGGTTGAAGTGATAGGTTCTTTTACTAAAAGACGCTGGCTGCAGTAAAGTCAGGCTAGAACTAAATTTCCTGCACTAAAATGATACAGAAGGTTTCCCCTCATCCCAGCCCTCCCCCCACGACCAGTTCATCTTCAGCCAATGAAGATTCGCCTAGGTGTTTTGAGAACGCTGAGATGTTTGGGATAATCCACATTCCTTCTCAGGCTTCGCTTTTCTTCATCAAACTGTCATTTCCCCCCTCCCTATTTCCCATCGCATACTGACACAGGTACCATATATTGCCCATTTGTTCATCCCCCCCCCCTTCCCCCTAGCCTTTGATGGCAGGATGCCAGCGAAGCACTAAGCCGAAGATGGCAGACCGGACAACATCCAATTATTTTAATATATTATTTATTGTTTCATCATAAAAAGTAAAATACAAAACAGAAAAACAAACAAAACAAAAGCATACATTCAACACTAACAACAACAAAAAAGAAAACAAATAGTCTACAAAAAAAGTGATCAAATATATTTAACATTTAACATGTAGGATCCACCCTGGCTGGGCGCTGAAAAAGAAAGAAAGGAATGTTGGTCCTTACCTGAATGTTAGTTTTCTGTTTGTAGATATGGGAGGGGCTACTCGGTATCAACACAGCCTGATTGGTACAGAGACTGAAGGAATTTCTTAGCCACACCTCCTCCTCTCTTCTGGCTCCCAGTTTCTGTAAGGTCGCGGCAAGCAGTCCACCTGAAAGGCATAACAAGACAACCAGGCCACCCAGAGCCCTTCACCTAACCACTACGTCTTGCTAGTGAGGGATGTAACACCTCCCATATCTACACACAGAAAACTTAGATTGTTAATTCATTTACTGGTCTTACGATGAAGATTCTCAGTCATCCAGGTAGAGTTGTCTGGAAGTTGAGTCATAGCAACTGGTGTTTTTTGTTTTTTTTGTTTGAAACATTTCGCTGCTTATCCAAGTAGCTTTGAAAGATAAGCAGTGAAACGTTTCAAATCAAAAAAGAAGTCCAGTTGCCATGACTCAACTTCCAGATTATTGGTCTTACCTTGAATAATATTTCTCCAAATGTGTCTGTAACCTGGGGGTAGAGTTACATGTAGACATTTTCTGTTGTACCTTTTCTAAGGCCTTTTTTTCTTGTTTTTCTATTCCCTGGTGCCTTGCCTTATGTTTGCAGCAGGTCTTGGTGACGTCACACAGCAGTTGAATCAGAGTGAGCTGGCTGTCTTATTGAACTTGTTGCAGAGGCAGACAGACCTAAGTGTTCCACAGATGGCCCAGCTACTGAACATCCATTCAAACCTTGAGATGCAGCAACATCTGGAGGCCCTTAACCAGTCAATCAATGCACTCAATGAAGCTACTACCACTCAGCAACTGCAGGATTCTAAGAAAGTGCCTGAAGAGGAAACAGCTGCTCAGGAACCACCCCCACCAGCCGGTTCCTCTGAGGAGCACGCCACTCCAGAAGCAGCAAGCACTCAAGTAGACATGCAAAGCATCCTGGCAGTTTTGCTGAGCCAGCTAATTAAAGCCCAAGAGTCTGCATCAAAGACACAGAATAGCAATGAGAAGAACAGCGATCTATGGGGGCCACAGAAAACCCCCACTTTGCTTCAGGAGGAAACTGCAGGTAAATAATTGTGACACCCCCTTGATCCCACGACTTAAGGGGGGAAATTATGTGGGTCTTTCCATGTGGTAAATAAAAAACACTTTGAATATTCTTTAACCATGCCTGGTAGTCATCTCTAAGTGTGTGTGGAATCTGGTGACCG